GAAACCACGGATAGTTGAACTGTAGACCGTATTGTCTGCTAGGATGGATGGTCATTCACGTGAGACTTCATTCCGTAATTATAAAATATTCTAGGCCCAGTCACGGTTCCAGCAACCGTGGCCCTATATGTCCACCTGTTGGCACAGGGGATCTTTCCTTTGTAAGAATGACAAAACTTAAAACAAAGAAACACATTGAATTATTATGAAATCATCGTAATACATTCGCTAGGGGTAAAGTAGTGGTCGGATGAAAAGTGTTATTTTCAGAAAAGAATCCGGTACAATGAAGGGGTTTAGTATATGTCACTGGAGGGATCTTGCTAGCACTAATACTTTCCGGGAATAATTTCGTGAATTTTGTGGTTTGGATCCTTAGAATATGTCATCTGTATTCTGTAAATAACCTTAGCTCAGAGGTATGTTGTCATTGTTTGAAACACTATCTATTTACAGACATGGATGAAAGAACGACTGAGTGTTGGAACGGAAAAAGCAAAGTTTGTGTCGGCCATCAGCGTCGTTTTAATTAAATATTCCGAGAATATCTATGGGTTAGGAAAAGACAGTCCTTACATCTGTTGGGACAGCTTAGCCATGGTAGCTCGTCTATGTAAGGATGCTATCGTGGAATCCGTACAACATTACGCCACGGTAGAACTACATGGTAAACTCACAAGAGGTCAAATGGTTGTTGATTGGTATGATAAATTGAATAAACCAAAAAATGTGAATATAATAAAAAAATTAAATATGGATATTATAAAAGAAATGTTGATACAATCCGTTAAATAGAAATGTGGTAAATGTATATGACAAATGGCATATTGTTTTAGATTTGAAATTTACGAGTGGTTCAATAAAAATAACTACCATTCCAACAGAACTCACTATTTCATGCGTTGTATGTCTGTTGTATGCACTTTTTCTAGTTTGAGTACTTACAGTATGACTTTCTTACAAATTGCGCCCTCTGGTTACGAAACGCCTACGTGACGTCAAAATGACGTAGATGGCTGTACAGGTAATGTGGTTTTACAATGCTGTTTGATTGTTTAATCGTTCATGTGGGAATATTTTATAGCCGGACATAAGTCACAGACCAAAATAATAATATCGACGCCCTCAGCGGCGCCCCTTTAGAAACTAGAGAGCTCGTTCAACCGCTCCATGGTTCAACCGTCCGTTTAGCAGAATAACCCATTCTCGTCGCTTACTTGTATATTGTAAACTAGGGAAGCCGGCATTTTCTTTCATTATTGTTGCTGACCCATGTAGGCGAACTATTCGTTCAAAAGCTTAACTAAACAACTGAATAAAGGTTGTCTGCCAGTCGTATTTGACAGTTACCTATTTTAAGATGTTTTTTCGATAATATTCTCTATAATTTAATAAATATTGGTTGGATACAGGTCAATTCTTGATAGCATCTTACGTGGGTAATATAATAGTAAATGTGAATTACACACACAGCTGCATCAGAGCACGCTCGGGAATTCAATAACAACACGTGCTATGAACGTAAAGGCTCATGGGTAGACGCTTGTTTGTAAAAACTATGACACGCTATGGCACCTGAGGCATGCGTAGGTGACGACTCCCCGCTTTAACTGTACACTGATAGTTTATGATTCACGACGTTTTGCTCTGAACACAAGGCTTTTTAATGTCTACAAATATGTTTGAATAAATATAGTGGATAAAAATTACAACAATACTTAGAAATGTAATTAATCCAGAAAGGCCACTCAAAATGACACGTGGAACAAGGCAAGTTAAAGTTAAACGCCCTCAGCGGCGAAATTTTTTTTTACGTGCTCTGCGGTATTTAATGGTATATACTGGTATGTAGTGGAGGTGTTGTGGAATGTATCAATATTAGTAGAGAATTTGCATAAATCTCAAATTCTATTCGAATTGCATTTGTTACCGCAGCTGACCGTTGGACTATCTGTAACGAACTAATGTGTATTCCTTTGGGTCGAATCTGGTATCTCTACGTGTAAGTGTTATCAACTGAACGAGTCAAGTTCCCCGAACAGAACGCCAGTGTTCACAATAGGTGACAAAATAGGTGATTTTCCGTACAATTGCGAGATCTCGCGAGAAGCATGAAAGACGCGCGTCGAACGTCTGCCGCAAAAGTAGAGCGATTTGATTTTGAAATCGAATTTCTTAATTTTGTAGCACACATCGACCGGCCGATCTTTGACAGAGGAATATTGCTTCCGAATACCCTTACTTAATCGAAATTGCTTATCATCAAATGTGTACAGCACATTATTAAGCATGGAAATGTCTCCTAAATACTTTCGCGTTTGTCGAATCCCACGCGATGTTTGACGCCACTACGACGCTATGACCTTTGTTTGTCCTGTTTTTACGTTCGATTTCACGCATAACGCGTGATTCTCGCAGTGAACGGAAAATGGTCAATTAGCCGGATAACCTCGTCTGACTAAAGCTGTTTCTTTGAGTATATACGACAAATTGTGATAAACAAGCTATATATAATGGTGTATATGACTAGACGTAATTTTTGAGCCATTGTCATGTCGCTAATTTGAAGGTAGTGTTCATGTCGCAGAAACTTGACTACTGTAGTGGAGGGCGGGTGTGTGACCTGCTTTTTGTCGAGGGCGTATTTGCATGCATGCATTGATACCTTCTTCTATTTGAATGTTGGAATACAATGCAGAAACACGTTTACTACCGAGTGGAATTTTTCCTAGACTGTTTTAATTTTTAAAAAAGTTGGTAGTATCTTTAATGTGTGACGAAAAATATCATTTGAGAAGAATTATTGTTAAATCTAGATATATTTTAAATATCCATAATAATTAAAATACCATGTTATATTTTAAACTCGTTTTTCGCACAAATCTTGACTTGTGGGAATTGTTAGAAAGAGTAGGTTCAGGAATGGAGGGCGAGACTGCGTATGAACTGCAACAGATCGAACTGGTGAAGAGTCTTCTACTTAAATACTCAAAGTAAATACAGCCTTGTACATGATTGGTTACAATGGATATTGCCTTGTACATGATTGGTTACAATGGATATTGCCTTGTACATGATTGGTTACAATGGATATTGCCTTGTACATGATTGGTTACAATGGATATTGCCTTGTACATGATTGGCGAAAAGAGAAACGAGCTGATTGGTCATTATGATTTAACGAGCTTGTCAATTGGTTGAAATTAAATCAATCTCATTGGCTGGAAAATTCTCAGTCAGAATCCTAAATTGTTAGCAAGCTCAGTTATCTACGACAACTTGTCATATTTTGTTATCAATGATTCTAAAGACTAACTTTGTTTGGCATTATTACAATTAGTCTTTGTTTCTGGCAATGCTATATACATGTATGCAAAATATGTCTATATTTTATTGCATTAAATACACGGCCAACTGCATCGAATGTTACAGGATTATATAGGCCTATAGAGGCATATAATATTGTTTCCTAGTTGGATTCATAATCGTTTGACCGGCCGCAATATTGATTTACGTAGTATTGTTCATAGCAATCCTGTACATGACCTTCCATATCTAGTGTACATTGCAAAATTCGATAAGGCTAATTATTGGTTGCAGTCAATTGTGGTTATTGTGTTGTATCCTGTCTGTCAAAATGGCCGCCGAAGTGACTCTTTTTCGATTGTAAACACCGCCTCGTGCACACAAAGAATATCGCATGATAATTTAGGTTACGCATTGTGAGTAATCTATTTGATTCCTTTCGTTACAAACATATACAAGTGGGATACGACTCTACCTACTGACTGATGTGAAACATTTTTACAATAAAGATGACATTATCAATATGAACTGAACTTTCTGCCAGACTGATTGACAAAAAAAATAATATTTTCCATACCACTATTCTACTCTCTCATATCCCAATTCATTTGCTATGGCAGAGCATACAATGTTTAAAGAGACATTGTCTTCTAACGTTCATGTCCCAGGGTTATCTAGTGGACGATTAACATTCAGGTTATTTGGCAGATATAATTGCATTATGGGTAAATATGATTGTATTATTTTCACTTGTCAAGTATAGACCTTGGGTTTCTTATAGAAATCATTTGATTATATTAAAATTTTGTTTGTAGATTACGTCATCTGGACATGTTGTTATTTCTACTGTGTTATCATGAACAACACTGGTGATGCACGCTGCATTATATTTTCTGTAATTAACTTAAATTTATAAAATTGAATTCAATGATAATATAAGTTAAAACAATTGTTGGACACTTGCAAACGACTGGTGGCCATTTTCTTTAATGAATGCGGCCCCAGGGCATACCTCTGACATGTTTTGAAATTCGCATATTACAGAACACGTTTTGATAGCTTATATTATGATAAACTCACCATCGTACTAATCACGCAAATTGATTTTGAAAAAAAAAAATTCTTGCAGTTAGATATTGCACATGACAAGTGATAACTCCGTAACGATTGATTTTATTACGATAGTTTAAGTTTAAGTACACTAATTGTATATACTCCATATGTGAATTGTGAACGGATTTATTGTACACCAAAGAAAATAAAACTCCGGAAATTACCGGACAACAATACTACAATGTACAGTGATCTTAAACGAAGTTCATTTTTTTAACGCAAAGTTATGTACGTGTACAAACGCACTGATGCCCCATTCTCCATGTTTAATGATATACATATCAATAGGATTTTAATAAAATACAACAATTCTTACAAATCAAAGAATATGTATATGTATATGTATATACTTTATAATTATTATTATTATTTCAATTATTATAGTATAGAATTAAGTACTATGTACAGGAAAATGCCTAGTAAATATTTTAACTTATAAATTGTATTTTAAAATATACTTTTTTGTGGGAAATTACATTATATTACTCAGTGCGATGGTTACATGTCGGCTTAATAGAAAACGTTTACTGTACAGCACACACGAAATCATATATAATACAGATAACTGGCAAGTCAATTAAGGTTGCAACGGGAAAAATGTATTCTGAAGTAACATATGTCTGTGGTGCTTAGTTAAGGTCAGTTACTAAGCATATGAATGTGTGCACGTGTCAAATAACATGATGAGAAAATAATGGCTAACATATTTACAATTCTTCTGCATTTGTTCAAAAATCGGCAATTCAACAGGAGATCTCTATTCAATTCAAGAGATAGCTAAAATCGCACCCTATTCTAAATATTACTTTTGTGTACGTGTATTCTGTATGTTTTCACGTGTTTCACCCAGATACACTTATTGATTTCTGTGACGATTCATACCTTCTCACGCTGATATATATATATAAAACATATGAGTAATATATTCTGTCATATATATATATATATATATATATATATATATGACAGAATATATATATACAGAATATATATATATGACAGAATATATTACTCATATGTTTTTTCTGCTGAAACAGGATGGAACTTGACCATGGAATTAACATCAACATTTGTAGACGGGAAAGTAAAATAATTTTGTGAAGTCGTATAATTCAAAAGTGAATCAATCAAATGCATTTACGTGTTTAATAATTGGAGACAGACACAACTATAGCAGTGCATATGTCCATTAAGTCGCGTGCCAGATAGCGACGCAGCGATTCATGAAAATATCGTCGTTCACTGCTTTTGATTTGCAGTTTCTCGTCAATACATATTTTACTATATAAACGACGGATAACTACACATCCGATTAAATCAAGAGACAGTATTTGTAAATATCTCTATTTTCTTATAATAATTATAATTCATAGGAGGTGAATGCAGAAATTACTATATGGTCACATTTCATCATGGATTTAAGTGTGTTCCAACACGTAGACGTGTGCGTGCTGATTTACAAATGCT